GCTCATAGCTCCTTGAACATGTGTCTCTTTCTAAGGGATGGATTTCCCTCCATGTTGACAGAGTTTCTTGCAGTGCAAGTGATGGAAAATGTAGGCTGTTCAATGGGAACAGTCCCTAAAGCTGAGCATATTCTCCCATTTGTCCAGTTGGGCAAACATCTGCACGTGGCCAGAGGTTTCTGGGTTAATCTCACCCTCTTGCAGTTCTGGGTTATCCTTTCATGTGAGTCATAGTTTGTATCTATACAAAGAGAAGCTTTAAACTGCCTCAAGTGAGGTATTTTTCTAGTACTTTAGCACTAATTAATCATTAAAGTGCCAAGATCAAAGGGTGGGGAACTACAATGTTGGTATGTTCTTATGATCACATTGTGACCAGTTCCTCATAAATCCTGGTATTTTGTGAGTTTCAAATCAAATCTCCCATGGAGAATGATTTGGCAAGAAGATGGTGGGCTGCTTTTCTTTGCACCTTTCAGAAGTAAGAGGAGCTTTGACTCCATAAGGAATGCAGGGTCAGCCCCACAACAAAAAGACCAACCATTATTTTGGACATCTTGGCACCCAAACAAGCCAGTGATTTAGGCATGGATATTCAAACCCAGTTTTATGGAGTGAGAGTCCCTGTCCTGAAGATCTGGTAGCTCAGTCAGAGAAGCAGTGAAATGGTGGGAACCTTGAGCCTATTCCGGGGTAACTTAAGGCAGTTAAGGGTGTAAACCTCACTGTGAGCCAGCAAGATTTACTATTGAAGTGCTTAAGTTACTTCTGAAAGTGAAGCTTTTAAAATAATGCTGCTGCTTTTGAAAAAAAAGTAGCCTAAGGCTGTGACTTCAGCGAAGCACGAACCTCAGTGGCTGTGGCTGCTGTCTCCTCAGCGGGACAGGCAGCCCTGGCACCTGGGCATGCTCCAACTGCAGGCAGAGGCGTGGGCATGGCAGAGGCTGTGCCTCAGCTTGCTCTCATCCCTGCACCTTGCCAGGGCGGGCACAGGGTCCTGCCTCCTGCGGTAGCCACAGGGCTCACTTTCCCTCTTTGGTGGGGTTAACTGCTGTGAATTCTGCAGCACCCAAATGCTTGGGATCTGGGGAAAAGCAGTTTTCATGTCCATGCCTTAATAAAGATTGAGAGAGGAGCACAGGGAGTGCAGACAGGTCCTGCTGCTGGTGCCCACCCGTGCATGGGAGCACCCGAGTCCAGCTGCTCTGGAGGAGAGGCAGGGGGTTGTTTTGCTTCTGTGGGGACTGAGCAGACCAAAGGGCTTGGTGTTTTATGTCTGGAGCAGGAGAGACTGGGGAGCAGCAAATCGGAGGTGAGGCTAGGATTGAAGGAGGGGCAGGGCAAGATAAGCAAAAGCCAGCAGCACAAGTAACAAAGCATCTGTAATATTAATGGACACTAATGGCTGTCCTAGAAGGAGAAAATGGAATGAAGCAATAGCATTTCTGAAATGTCTTTTTTTCCATAATATGGGATGTTTGCAAAGGCCACTATTCCTCCTCTAAAAAATTCCTTTTTGCTCCCTTTCATTCTTTTTCTTGTGGGATGCCTGGGACTTGACAGTGTGGGCTCTTGTCCAACATTTGTTCTGGCCTAGATTTTAATCTCTGCTTTTTTTCACCCTTACCTTCTGCTTAGCTGGCTGCTAACTCTAGAAGACACACATATAATCTATAAAACATTTGTGTTTTCCAATTTTAATTTCTAATTTTATAAAACATTTGTGTTTCCCAATTTTAATTTCCAATTTTAATATCTTTTAATTTCTATTTCCAGGAGATACTCAAGACCTCAACAAAAGTTTTAAATTGCAGTGACAGTAAATGTTTTGGGCTGCCAGGGCCACCTTAATAAGTATAATTGTCAAGGGATGTGCAGAGCTTTATTTTGTAACCCCCTGGTTGTGACATATCAAAAGCAAAGACAAAAGGAGGGAACAAACTTATACCCTGGGAACACTGGTACTTATCAGTGATGCAGGGCAGGTTGCCAGGTTGCTGGAAGAGCAAAGGTACAAAGTCAGATGTGGAAGGTCCTGATAACCTGTGCAGTTTATTGAAAATAAAATTTTGGTGGGAAGAGTGTTTGTCTGGTGGGAAGAGTGTTTGTCTAGTGGGAAGGTGGAAATGGAAAGGGAGAGGCCATAGGGAAAGGCAGAGCAGGCCATTCCCTGCTGGGGGTTAGAACCACTTGGTTGTCACATCTTGGCACTGCCAAGGATCACAACCTTCCCCAGCAAGGAGGGGAAGGCTGAGGGAGAGCTGAGCTTTCCCAAGGCATGGAGCTCTGCCCTGCCGGCTCACCTGGCCCTTCTGCAGCTGGGCAGGTCCTCGGAGACAGGTGTTGGGGAGGATTTCCCAGGGTGCTGCTCATGCAGCACTGGTCAAGCACAGAGCAACCCCAGCACTTGGGCAACCCTCAGCAGCAGCATTCAGAGGGTTTGTCCCTCTGCCACCCCTCCAAACCCAGGTGTGTGCACACCCTGCATTCTGTGGTGACTCCTTGAAGAGGAGGAGGTGATGGTGCAGCCTCACCGCCCCTCTCCTTTAGGTGCGCACCACGCAGTGCAATTCATCCGCTAATCCTGGTTGATGAGCCAGAAAGAATGTTTCAAGAATGTTTCATCCCTCGGTAATTTTGTTAACTTCTCCTGGCAACAAAAACGAGGGCAGGTAATGAAGTTGTTTGAAAGAGCGTGAAACCTAGAGAGCGTTTGGGAACAGTTTGGAGGCAGATGCAGGACTTCTCCACATGGCTCCTCACTTCATCTGGGACGTGGAAAAAAACCCAAAGAACCTTGTGGGATACTACTTCAGTCCTTGGTTTCTTTCTTGCATCAATTCCGCTAACTGTGCCTTAAATTTGGGCCAGATGCACGCTGGTTTTATGATGTGGTACAGTGGGGAAGTCTGGGCTGGATCTAACAGAGGCTCTGCTAACAGGGCTGTTCCTTCAAGGAGCTTGGGAAGTTCCAGCTATTCCCAGTGGAATGCCTTCAGCAGTAATGAATGGTTGGGGGTACCAGGTGGGGGGTGACTGGGGCTCTGTCAGCGTGGCGAGAGGAGCAGAACACTTTCTGGATCTTGCAGGGCGCCTTCCCTTGTTTGGGCAGAAAGTGCCAGGTTTTGTTCAGGCTCATTCCTGAGTCAGCCATGTGCTGCTGCAGGACCACATTCATACACTGTCAGGGCACATGCTGCTCCTTGTCCAAATGGACAAAGCAGGCAAGAGGGATCGTGCTCATCCCAGGCTCTCATCCCCTCACAGCAGGGCTCGGAAGCAGCACAGCTCACGAGTCCAGTTTAGCGCTCAGCACCATCTCACATTCAAAACCTAATCACGAGACTGTCCTGCTCCTTTTTGATCATGTCACGTCCTAAAAGCTTTGCGGAGGATCAACCAAATCTCCTGTGTTTTCATTTGCTAAGCTCAGTCAAGTGATACAAAGCCCAGAGTGCTTTTTCTGCCAATGTGAATTTGCAGTGATTAAATTGCATTCTTGTGAGGGTTAATTTTCATAGACAGATGTGAATAATTACCTGTTAATATGCTTAAGAATCATAAGGAATATTTGGTTGTCTTTACAGCTACTTAGCTAACTGAAATTGGCATAATTATTTTGAATTTAGGCTCTGTAATTCAGTGTTGTCTCTTTTTTTGTTCTCTCCTAATAATCTGATCCCTGTCTTCACATCTTTTCTCCTCCTTACCCACCATTTTTTCAGCTCAAATTGTTTTGTCATCACCTGTTCTTAAATCTGTCGGATGATACAGAGATTGAGAATATTGAGATGACTGAAAACAAGGACCCTGTGCAAGTGTTTGTAGGTATAATTTAAAAATGAAATTCGAAAATACCCTCCTAAGGCACTGAGTTCCTCACAGTATAAAACTTCCTACCCTTGTTGCTACTGTACAAGAATTTGGGGCTGTGAGTGAGCAAAACCACCTCAACACCAGCCTGTTGCACCACATGTGCTTTATGTAATAAATAAATGCATCTTATTATATATTTATTATATATTTAAAAGGCAAATTATTGGGGTTTGTACAGGACTAAATGACTGAATTCTACAGCTAGTGCAATGCAGGGTGGCAAATTGGCATGCAACAGTTTATATACTGTGGACAAACCATTCCAGTGGAACACAGAATTTGCCCATTTTTCTGTGCTTTTGATAAATGCAAATAACTTGAAAAGTTCTCAATACAACACAGAAGCACAGCAACATCACTAAATTTACTAAAAACTAAGGGAAATACAGTCAAATATACTCAAAGAGTAGCATAAACCAAATAACTTGTGACTGAGGACTGAATTAAATTCCCAGTGAGACACAAGATCTCTTTATTAGACAAATCTATTTCTAGCTAGGATTCATCCAGGAAAAAGTTATTTTACAGCAGAAACACTTTAAAATACAATTTACCCCCTATTTTTATCTGTCTTGAGGCCCTGTTAGCTGAGCAGCTGTGGTGCTGATGAACTCAAATTTATGCTCTCACAGGAGCGTCAACATTGCTGTGTTCATGTGCCTGAGGTGGTACCAGGCAAGGCCATTATCCACAGCTCATTTCTTCTTCCCAATTGCTTGGTCCTTGAGTCCCTCAAGGAGGCCACCAGTAACTTGTCCCTGAGAGGCTGACACCCTCACTTCCCTTTGGGATGTGATCATTCCAGCAGGGTCTCACTTGAAGCCCTGTCCGCACAGACCTTTGTGCTGTGGCAGATGGGAGATGCTTCCCAGCTGCTTTCCAAAGCCTGGCACAGGAAAACATGGAGAGGGTGTATTATCATTTCCCTGGCCACTGCAGGTGCAAAGAATTCAGTAACAATATTTGTTCTGGAGCCAAATTGCTCTCAGACTGCCTCTGATATTTATTCAGTTGAGGAGAATTACCCAGCTCTTGGGCTGTGCAAGTCACTGGGTAAGAATTCCCAGACAGGGTATTTTTCTTCCTTTTATTTTATTCCCTTTTGAAACATGTGCCTAGACAAGTGACAGGCAAATGTCAATGGTTTTATTGCACAGTTGAATCATTCCTGAATATTTCCTCCCTCTGGAGGAAAATCCATCCCCCTGAATGCACTCGACTTGCTCCAGTTCCTGGAAATTGGGCTGAAAGCCTCAGTAGAACAGCCTGTCTTGGGAGCTTTCCATCTCCTGATGTCAGGGAGTTCAAAGACCTTGAAGTCATAGAGCTTTTGCAAATACTTTGCTCTTTGGATTCCAGATTCTGTTGCAAACCAAGAAACAGCCAGTAAGTACAAAATGGTAAAAAAAATTAAATACATATGTATATTACTGGCTAACTCTCCAAACCTTAACATAACAGAAAGCTGATCTTAGTTCCAATTAAAAATGCAGCTTGATAACAGGAGAAGTGTTTTGAATCACCTTTTAAGCTCATTTACTGCCAGTAGCAGGCTGCCCTGGTACCTGTGGCACAGAGCACTGCAAATATTGCATATTCTCATGGAATGGACTGTGCAGGACATTTTACTGGAAAAGCTCATGGTTGTGGTCACAGGCTCTTTACTGAGCTGAACAGATGCAGTTTGAGAAATCCATTTGATTCCAGTAGGATTTCACATGGGTTACATCTGTGGCTGGGCTGATAGCAACATTTGCAGTACTGGGTCAATAGCTTCCAGCTCTAAAACAATGATAAAGCCAGGGCTATTTACTGGAAACTGTTAATTAAGGGTGAGTGAAGGCAGTCAGGAGTCTGTTAGATTGTTTGTCCATCCATTTGTTTACTTATTTGTCCAACCAATGCTGCAGCTGCTCCTACCCCTGGGCAATGGACAACCAAATGTTTTGGTAAAGTCTGTCTCATTTATACTACATCATAATTTCAAAAATTATTTTGGATGTGGGTTTTACTTTAGTAAATCCTCCTAGGAACATGCTCCCCCTCAGCTGGGACACTTCCCTCAGGTTTTGTTCTGCTGTGGAGGTAGGAAGTGGGTGGGACAGGTCTGGCTCCAAAGGCAGAGCTTTTGTGTGGCTCCAGTCTCTCCACCACACACTGGCTCAGTGCTGACACACAGAAAATACCTGAGCTGAGCCAAAGCACCTAACTCACTGTGTGAGCAGAGATTCACTGCCATAAATCAGGTAAGAAAAGGGAAAACCATTGATTTCTGCCAGCCAGCACTTCATTCCTGTTCTTATTCTCCAGTTAGCAATCTATAAAAAAACTATTGCAAGACTTGACTCTTCTCTCCAGAGCCAGAAACATCCTCTGTGTCAGGTGGAACAATAATTCAAAATAGGGCAGGCCTAGGAGAGAGTTAGATGGGGTTAGGAGGCAAATTCCAGAACTCCAGTTCCACTGCACCTGGTTCCTTACTGCTAAAGGCTGAGTAAGGAGAAACTCAATATTGCTGCTTTGCAGCAACACTGGAAGATTGTAATTTCCATTCCATTCAAATTCTAACATGAAAAAAGTATTTATGTGGCTTGATAAGTTCCCTGCGTCCTTCCCACCTGTTTCCATTTTAATGCAAAAATATAAAGTCTTTATTTCATATCTTGTTTCCAAGTTGGTAGAAGTCCCTCGGTCACTCAGTAGTGCTAGAACTTAGAGTGTGATGTAGCTATGTGTCTCTGTCTAAAGAATGAAAGAAGAACTCTTTAGGCAAAGGGGTGCAGTGGTGCAAGACTAGTAATAGATGCCATAGATGGGCTTAGGCTGGAATGAGAGCCAGGTTCCTAGCTACTGTTTGGAAAGGACATCAGAAAATCTGTTTTTCAGGGAAAAAAAGATTATATAAAAATTATGTTTCTGCCTAAGAAATGAATGGTTGGCCCAAAGGAATGCAGGTAACCACGAAGACCCTCCCAAAAAACCTGTCCTTAGTTGAGCATTACCGATCCAAGAGAAACCACTGAGCCACCCCAGCCTGAGGAGCTGCTTCACATACAGCTTGTCAACATGGAGAAAAGTTATTTTTTAAACTGTGGGGGATGTCAAGAATAAAAGACTTTAGTGGATAATCCTGAATAAGGAGCAAGCATTTAAACAAAGAGGCACTGTGGAATTTACAGACAAATGCATGAACTGGACTGTTGTAAAATGGATGGCATTTTACTCAAGAGTGCAGTAGACACTTCCAGCCTTTCAAATTTCCACCAGGTGTTAGAGGCTAAGTGCTAAAGAAGCTAAAAAAGAGAGATGCTAATCAGTGATGGGATTGGATCTGTCCTGAGAGTTTTGATAGGTTCAGGCTGGACATCAGGAGGAATTTCTTCAATGGCAAGGTTGGTAAACATTGCAGTGGGCTGCACAGGGAGGTGGTGGAGTCAGAGTCCTTGGAATTGTTAAAGAAATGACTGAATGTGGCACTCAGTGCTGCTGTCTGGTTGACAGGGTGGTGATCAAGGTTGACTCAATGATCTCAGAGGTCTTTTTGAACCTGAGTGATTCTGTGATAGGATGTGTGATAATTGATGCATTATCCCATCTCCAGCACATCTGGACTGGCTTCAGTGCTGAGATCACTGTACTGCAACATGTGAAAGACACAGCAGCAGAATGGGGAAATTCAGCTGGACAGTCTGGAAATCCCTGCACCTCCATCACTTCCCACCCAGTCACATTAGACCTCCCTTTCTGTGCACAGAAAAAACAGCTCCAGCATGGCAGGATGCTGATGTCACCTACTGCACTGCAGGAACACTAATTGCTTTTATGCTTTGGAGTCAATGAGAAGAAAAAAACAAATGTAAAAAAGAACTCATTCTGCCTCAGCTCTTTGGCAGAAGAGCAATAATTTCAGTTCACACCCCCCACCAGTGCTCTGCTGGGTTACAGCAGTGGTGTTGCCTGCAATGAAACACCACAGCTGTGCTCTGCTCCTCCTGAGACAGGAATGAAATGTTCTCTCCTCCTCTTCTCTCTGTTTGCAATACGGGCAACAGGATTTTGGATTACATTACCTGAGTGGTCAACATCCAAATTATTTGTCCAGACGTAGTTCAGCACGGCAAAGAATCCCACCCAAAAAACTTGTGGTGTTACTTCAAAGATATATCTGAGTATTTCCATGCTTGCAGCTCTCCTGTGTAGGTGTCTAGTGATTCCCACTGATTACATAACCATATGTTTTATTTTGCTCTTAAGAAAAAAAAAACAGATTCAATGCATTTTTGTGACATGTTAGATCAGTTAAAATAACACATATAATAACCCTGCCCTGATTTAATTTAATGCCACCATTCCCTGAGAATTAGGCCCCAGTGAGGAAAAGTGGAAGTGTATGGAAGTGGCTGGGACTATAAATGCAGTCCCTCTACACTGAGGACACACTGATCTCATTTAGTACAGAAATAATATTTTTCCATGACCTGGATGTACACGATGGTCCAGTCCTGCAAAGCACAGGAAAAGTTCCTGTTGAACTAAGAATAGGAAAATCAGGTTGAAGATTTGGGATTGCAATTGAGGTCACTACAGCAGGATCAGTGTGGTTGGAAATATGCAGATGCTGTATTTTTTCTTTGGAAAAAAATTGTGGTCCAAACATGGTGCTCAACTCTGAAGAGTCACAGCAAGAACTGTACAATTCCTGCAGTAAATCTCAGCTCCCCTTTCACTGAGGCTCTCTGCAAGCACCAGGGTCATGTTTGTGATACAATTCTGCAGTGAATTATCTGCATGTCCAGCAAACAGGTTCTCCAGGTGCAAAGTGGTGCATGGAGCAACACCCAGAGAGGTAACACTCAGAAACTCCTGATAACTCCATGTGGCACCACAACAGAGCCAGGGCAGAGTCACAGCACTCAGAGATGCTTTCCAGACACAGGGCTTTCAAGGATGAGGCACAAGCTGAGTCTCAGGTGAAGTTTATCACAAGTTTGGCCCTTCCTGCCAAACCCTGGGGCAGCAGACTGATGGAGAAGTGAGAATGACCTGCTCTGTTAGAGCAGGGGTGACATTTAGTGACACAAGGAAATGGCCTGGCAATGTTAACTGCCCTGTGGGGTTTCACACTGCCATGAGGGCTAAGTCTCCAGGAGAACTGGATCTGTACCATGGTACAGCAAAGGGAAAAATCTCTTCAGCCAGAGTGTGCAAGCAGGGCAGTTTCAGGTGAACTCACTTCCAGTGTAGCTGAGAATTCCATGACAGGAGGGCAGCTGAGAACACCTATGGGCATCTTCCAGGCATGCCAAGTCAAACCTATCTTTCAGCTCTCCTGCAATAGGGAGTTCAGGAAAGATTCTGTGGGTTTTGTTGGTGAACTTCAGGAATTCAGTGCCAAAGGTGTGCATTTCACCTGTAAACAGAAGTGACTCTGTATTTGGCAACAAAAGGCACTGAGTCTTTCTTACCAGCCTGTGTTCCATGGTCTGCACAACCAAGAGGGACAGACTGTGAGTTATTAAAAACAATAAGCCAACAAATCACATATCCCTGCCTGGGGAATGAAATACTTGACACACCAGATGGTCTTTCTTATCACTGATTTCTCCTGCTTACCCACTCAACATTGATAACATGTTCAGAGGAGTTCAGAGAGTCATTGTGCCAATAAACATAAATGCCTAGAAACTGTCTGCAACAAAGCTTCATGATAGGAGATGACAAAAGAAAGTTTTTTCCTGTGGCTATTAGGAGTTTAAGACTCCTTTTTGGAGGATGGGTATAAACCTCTGAACATTCACAGTCACTAGAAGTCACTGGTGGGTCCCCTCAAGGCCTTGGCTTGGTGTCTGCCACACATCTTTGTGTGAGAGAGGTTTCACGCATTACTTTGAACTGAGTTGTTGAAATACTAATTTGATAGTGTTCATACATATTCATAAATAATAAATAGTTTGGTAAAAAGGAAGAACAGAGAGAAGAGAAATTTTGCAGATGATGCAAATGTGGCCACGAAGCACAGCTGAAAGGGTTCACGATGCCGAGTGGCTGGGCAGTGAAATGGCTGATGCGGGGCCGTGTCAACAAAGACAGAGCACGTGCAGGACATTCACCCTCACTGTACTTACACACAGATGAGTTCTAAAAATAACATTGAGCAAAGAGAGCTGGGAGGCCTCTGCAAATATCATTTAAAGTCCATCAGAAGAGACAACAATCATGTTAGGAATGAGCTGTAAAAGAGGCAGGAACAAAATAGAAAACATCATTACAGCACTCCTCAGTGAAACTGCATTTCCATGGTAGTTTTCTGGCCATGGAACTCCAGAAGAGTTGGGCTGAACTGAAAAGCACAGGAAGGAAAGCATTCAGGATGAGAGGAGGTGGGCAACAGTTTCCCCAAAGATGGAAAAATAAGCAGATGAAGAACCTTCAGGGTAGAAAGGGGAGACAGAAGCAAGAGGTTCAGTAAAGCTCCATCAGATCATGACTGACACAGAAAAAAGCAAATAGGAACTGGCTGTTCACTGGTTCGCCTAAGAATTAGAAAGACCTGGAGGTGCTGTCACACAAGAAGGTTTAAACCAACAGAAGGAAGTACTTTTTCATACAAGGCATAATTAAATTGTGAAACTCATTGCCACAGGATGTTGTGGAGGCCAAAAGTTATAAATGGCTTGAGAAAGGGATCAAAAACACTTGAGGAGCATAGATCCATGGGTGGCTGTTAAAACACACTGGTCTGAAGGCAGCCTCTGCCTCGGGAAGTCCATAAACCGCAGATTGCCTGGAGCGAGGAGGGTACAGCAGGGGAGGGATTGATTCTGCATTGCCTGCATTACCTCCTGGCTATGCTGGGAGGTGGGATGCTAGGAGATGGGATACTGGCCCATGTGGCCTTTCACTGTGACACTGGTTAGGTTCCAGCTCTGCTTACCTTAACAGCAACAACAAAAAAACCCAACCAAACCAAAACAAAACCTAAAATAGAAGAGGGGCAAGAGGCAGCCCCAGCCCTCCACACACTGTTAGTAGGCAGCCTGGTAGTTGTTTTATTTTCTTTAGAGTGGACTTTGTGTTGCAAGTGGCAGGAAGCCATGAACCACAAAAATAAAATAATTCTAACCCGAGTGCTAAGTAAGGAAAACAAAGATGGCTCAGCAATTAGCAGCATTATATATGTTAGTACTAAGTAACAACAGATGTCAGGACTTGAGCCCTCTGCATTCCTCACAGTCCTTCAGAAACCAAAGCCTTTTGACATCGCTATACATTATTGCAGCTATTTTGGGGCTGGGAGAACAGCAAAGGCTCTTTGAATGCTGAAATATGTTGGTTGCTAGGACTGGTTGGGCCTTACCTGCATGTCCCTCCCCATCCTGTGTCCCTCTGCTGCCTTCCCAGGCTGGTGTGTGCTGTAAACCCTGCTCTGTAAAGACATGCGCTGGCCATGAGTCATTAGCAAGCATGCGAAGCTAATTGGCAAAATACTCATAAAAGATTTTGAAGGTGGGTTAATTACAATTCATTACACTGTAAACTGTCCCCAGGCTATTGTTAAAAAATGTAGGAGTTTCAAGGTCCAGTATTTTATGATTCATTTTGCCATGCAGTGAAAAACAGACTCTATATCAAACTACATTCATTATAGTTAAGACCACAAAATCTTTATTGGTTTTCCCAACATTCCCTCCTTGTTATATGCATTCATATGGACTGCACATTTCTAGCAATTGGCAAGAAGGCATGAAATAAAATTTATTATATTTTCTTACCTTTTACTTGGTGCAACCTTAAAAACTGCCTGTTCTCCTTGCTTTACCTCTTCCCAAGTCAATTTGAGCTGATAGGATGGGACACTGAAAATAAACAGAGCAATGACTGGGAACAGCTTTGCCACACTGATGATTTAGTGTGACAAACCTGAATGCTGCATGTGCATACAGGAACCTCAGCTCCAAAAGGATACTGGTAATGAAATTGAAATAGTTTCTCCTTCTATTTTAATAGATATTTTTTAAAAAATTCAGAATAGACACATTTTTTACCAGTCACTGGTATTTCCAGATGGAGGCTTTTGTAGCTAAACCCAGGATGCACCTTCAGAGAGACAAAGGTACCTCTTTACTTACATGTTCTGCTGGCCCTTTGTCTCCTCAGAGCCAAATTCTGCAGCTTATAAAAGATAACAGAGCCTTTGATTGTCTTTGCTGATGCCAGGACTGTCAAATAATACTAGTGAGTAACTTGGTATAATTCTCAATACTGCTGTGTTGAGAAAAATTTAATAGAAGACCCAGCTGTGACCCCTGTGGGAGCAAAGCCAAGTGCTGCTCATCAGTGCCATCTTTGTGCCCTTCTCCAGGGTGCTCCGTATCTCCTTGTGCTGGCTGGCACTTGGGCTCTCCTTTGAGGCTTAAATGGTGCCATTCAGCCAGGCTTTGCTGAACTCTGCTTCTGCAAATCCAGGGGACTCTCTCTCTTGGGCTGGCCCTGCCTGTGTGTGACTGCACCCAGTCCTGCTCTGCAGGTACAAATATGTCCCTCAAAGAGTCGTTGTGGGCATTCCTGGCTTGGCCAAGCTAATTTTGGGGTTAACACATAAATATATCATTATTGCAAAGTAAATGATGGAGGTAGCACTATGACTCTCCCCCATGAAAAATGTTGATGACATGGATGGATTTGGTTCTTTCAGTTAATATTTTACTTTTTGAGTTTTTGAGGTGATGGGGAGAGGGAGAACACTGAAGAAATCTCTCACTCAGGCAATCATCAAATTGCTGGTCTGTAGGGAAGGCTGGGCTCCAGGACAGCTTTGATGAATGGAGACAAGAGATCTCTGAAGGCTGCTCTTAGAATATCAGGTTTATTAGGAATGGAGAAAGGTCTTGCTTGGAGCTGCCAGATACAGCACGTGGCAAGGTCTGAGGGGATGGGGGAGGGGAGAGACAAGGGGTAGAGAGGATGCTCCAGGAGAGGGTGGAAGTTTTAAGAGGGGGGAAGATCCAAGAGGGCATCTGGCCCCTCAGAGACCCCTTATCAGGGGGCTTCAAGGTGGGCTGGAACAAGACTTAGGCCAATGGGGTTACAGACACCTGATGTTTCAGGGAGAGTTACAGGTGTGGGATGAACCATACATTTTGGGGGGTGAGATAGAACAGATAGAACAGTCCATTTGACTTTTGGACCTATCTATAGGTAAGGGCATTGTTCAACCAGTAGGGGGGATTGTTTTCATCCTGGCTATACTATTGTGAATCTTTTGCCAGGCAGTTATATTTATTCATCCTTCCCAACACTGGTCTTTGTTTTTTCTTCTTGAAACCTCTAAATCTTTCAATGAAACTGGACATGTTTGGAGGCAAAGTTTTTCATTCAGTTGAAAAATGCCTTCTCCATTATGAAAGAATATTAATAGCATAAACCAGCCCAAACCCTTCCAGCTTGAAATTGGCCCCATGGGAATATCAGTTTGTTCTGGTAAGACTCTGTAATGGATTTATTGCAGCATGCAATGTTTTTGTTTGCATTAACATAGTGTGAAGTGATAAATATCTTGGGTTGGTTCTTTTGTCTGAGGTTTCTCTAGGAAACTGAATTTTCTTAAATGACAGTCAGAACTGCCATATTTATTAGGACCAAGACTCTGATTCCCAGCAGAGACATGCAGAGAAGAAAGAAAACTGACCTGAGCACTTATGATACTTGGCCTGAGTGTTTTGCCAGGCTCCGCATCTGCTCTGTCACCCTGGGGCTGATCCCTTCTGAATGATACCACTGGAAGCTGTGACATCAGGAATGGAGCTCAAGGGGTCACCTGCAGGATTTACAATGGGGGGGCACTTTTCTACTGGGAGATGCACCACATGGATGTGCCTCTTTCTTCCCCTCCTGAAATGGTCTGGTGGGGACCAAGAACCAAGCAAATCCCAGCAGGTTTTCCCAGTGTAGCAGCCAGAGCTCAACTGAGTTTTCAAAGCTGACGGGCGTTGGGAGCAAAGAACTTGGAAATCAGAATTTCAGTGACAGTGATATTTATGGGTACTCTGACTAATCTCTGTGCCTGGGACCTAACAACTATATCCAAAAACATTAGCAAATATTCTTCTGCCTTGCTTTGTTTTGGTAAGAATTATAGCTGTTCCTGTTGCCTTCTCACCTGGGAGCAGCATATGGAGCAACTCCGGCAGCTTCGCTTTGTGACATTGAGCAATGTCAGTGCTGTCATTGGACAGATGGACCAGTGACTGAAATGGAAACAAAGGAGGAACAAATGAGTGACCAAACTTTTCCAAACTCTCATAGATATTTGTTTCTAGTGGTGGAGATATTTTGCAAGTGGCAGGTGTCAGTATTAAGTACTGAATTCTTCATTCTCCCTTTGGCCTCATTATAAACATGGTATTTGTTTTTAAACTAGGCTGACCTTTTTCATCACTCCTTTTTAGGGTCATACCTCTGTAAGGCTCACAGATGTTGAATTTGGGTAGAACCTTTTAGCCACAATATAATCTATAGTATATAATCTATAATACATAACACTCCAAAATTTCAGAGGCTCCATTAATAATACTGTGCAGAAATTGGGATTTTTGCCATTGGCTTGACTGGCTCCAAAATTATACCCTTGCTTCTCCTTGGAAGTCATCTTTGATTTGGAAATTATCTTGACAAGTGCTGTGATCCATTGCTCTCCAAGGAGATTCCTGCTACTTCATTGTTTCAACAAGGCTGTAAATAAGAGAAGAGCTTTACTCATCCAGTGCTCCTCTGGTCCCAGCTCAACTCAGAGTACTCAGCAACGGGCAACAGCAAAATGTTAATCAAATTCCTTTAAATCTCAAAACAAATGTTGAGTAGAGCTTCTTCAAGGCTGCAGAAAACTCTCCATGGGAAACTGTCAACATTTCTATTTAATATATTGTCTCACCATTTGGAGTCTGTGAATCAACTGGTGAAGTGTTCAGGAAAAGAAATTTTTTTTTAGATATTAGGAATATATATCTATGTGAGTTTATACACATAAAATGTAAACATCATTCTATCTCAAACAGACATACCACCTAGATAAGGTTTTTCCTTGCCAACTATGTGTATAAGTGATATTTATATATGACAAGAGGAAAGTTTTTCAGCCAGCTCCAGCTGGGAGCCAGTCACCTTGAAGGCAGAGCTGTTTTTCACTTGTTTGTTTAACAAAGTGCATTTTGGCAAATGGGCTCTCCTCACCAGGAGCTGGGCACCCCAAAATCTGCACTGTGATGTTCTGCCTTTGGGAATGGTCATCCCTGCTGGTGCTTCCAGTCACTGACATCACTCAAGGTCTCTGGAATTTTCCATGCAGGTGTTTAGGTAGAGAGCAGGGCACACCTGGCCATTGGTGGCAAAAATCCTGCTGACCTCAGCAAACCTGGGTTTCACTCCCAGTCCCTGGAAGATTTTTACAGATATGCAAATAAACACTGTCCATCTCCCTTAATTAAAGCATCCCCCTTTTGCACTGTCCATGGTATTAACCTCCATTCTTTCAATCCCTGCTCTCATTCCAGGCCCAGTGAAAGGACCCCTTCCTTTGCTTCCACTGAAATTCATCCAGGTTGGTGGAAGTACCTCATCGAAGGCCCCTCATGTAAAGTGCTTCCTCCAGTAAATTCAAAGGGATAAGACATCTCACAATCGGCTTTTATAACCTTACAAAGAGAAAAGTCTGTCTCAAAGCTGCTGACTTTTTCTTTAGCAAAGAAAGCTGCTCAGAGATATGCAAGCACTTCCCCTCAGCAAGCTAAAACCCTACAACTCAGAGCAGGGGAAAGTGTCAGAAGTGGTTGCACACACAAATCACCACTGTCCAGCTGTGTGTGACAGTACAGCCACCACATTTAGAGCCAACAGCTTGCCAGCAGAGATGCCATCTTTGTCATCTTTGACAACCTTGATGGCATCACTGCTATGAAGGCACCTGGAGCCCTTCAGTGAATTCAGGTACCTTTTGTGATCCTTCTCACTGAGATGGAGCAGCAACACTGGATTTGCTCACCATGTTTGTGTCATGATGACACCTCCAGGCAAGGCACTCTTACAGCATTTCTGTACAATGTCTGATAGAAGTGCAATGTCTGATAGAAGACCCTTGCCTCAGCTCAGCCAGTGCTACATGGAGGCAAATAGCAGTGCTTGGCAGGCTACAGCTTTCCAGCTAGAAGTCTAACACCAAATAGTTCACATTCTCTCCTGCTCTTGACACCTGGCCTTATTCAAAACTGTTTTGTTTTGGTTTGTTTTTTTAAAGACGGTACAAGACCAGATCCTGAGGGGCCTCTATCTCTGATTCCCATTACGGTTTATATTTCACTCACTGGAAGACTGTCTCAGAAGTGTCCCAAGGTTTTCCTTTCAGATTTTAAACCAGCAGAAAGCAAGACAGCGTGACCTCTCTCTCTCTGCCACTGTAATCAGAAGCTTTATGATGAAGTTCAGCTGGAAGAGCAAAAAAGAGGAAAAAAACCCCAAAATGCAAACCAAAACAGGAGAATGCCATCAAAGTCTTTCAAAGTCAGAAATTCATTTTACCTTTGTCAATGGCTGTGGTTTTCAAGGATAAAGATCAAAGTGCTGACTGCGGGCAGAGCTCTGATGAACGCCGAGCTCAGCCTGTGGAAGCCTGGCATTAGTGCCACAGTTAGACTGTGTCTAGATGGGCACAGGGTGATCATGCCAGCTTTGTTAAACTTGGCAAGTGTTTGCATCAGAGCTGGAGCATGAAGAGTGGGGCATCCAAATTACAGA